GGGAGGGGAGGGGAGGGGAGGGGAAGGGAGGGGAGGGGAGGGGAGGGGAGGGGAGGGGAGGGGAGGGGAGGGGAGGGGAGGGGAGGGGAGGGGAGGGGAGGGGAGGGAGGGAGGGGAAGTAGTTCACAGCTATGGTTTCTTGAAAACCAGAACATTCCTTGTTAATAGAGTGAGTGTCCCACCACAGAAGCTAGTCAAGCATAGGCTAGCTAAGCACTGGGAGGAATGTTCTGAAAAAGATTCAAACACTGGAAAAGAACTTGTAAATGAATGTCCTTTCAGAGCTAAAGTTCTATGATTCTTACTCACCAGTTACAGGTGTGGCCACTTAAAGAGAAAGAAAAAAAAACAAACCCTGGTCCAAATATCTTAAATCTACAAAGCAGACACTCACTTTGCAAAAAGGGTTCGTTTCAATAAAGAACTAAAGTATATTTTAAATGTTTGTTTCCAAGCCATTAACTATCTAACCAAAAATAAAGGGGAGGGAAGAATGAGGGACTTCAAGGTAACGCTGAAGGACCCAGTGCCAAAGGAAGCCCCATCATAAATGAAGAGCTTGTGTCGGAAAAAAGGAGCCAGAGTTTCAATTTCCGCACACATTCCTCAAATGCTTCTATTTTTTAATGATATTTTAATAAAACAGATGAATATCATAAAAATCATGGAGTTTGGGGTTTATGTGAAATCACAAGACTTCGTCCTCTCAATCCCCCAGCTAATATCAGCCAATAGATTAAACTTTCAGACACTTTCGAAGAAAGACAGCGAGCCTGGGCTGAAGGTTATCTTAGAACATATTCCAAGAAAAAACAAACTCCTTCAAGTGGGTCATAATCCAGATGATCATCTATTCTTCTTTCAGCGTAAGAATGGATTTTAACAAGTTTTGTTTTATAAACATTCCCGTGGCTCTACACATCTGTGAGGAGACACAACACTACCCCATGGCTCTCATCCTGTTTGCTAACTAATTATATCAACAACCTGAACCAACTTAACACTATGCAAAAACACAGCTGATTTAGCAATCTGTAAATTATACATGTACATAAATCTGGACCCAAATGTGCTGCGCCTCACTCCTGCTAATGTGCATGGATTCTTACTGGCACCTACAACTGTTTGATATAGGTTTCCGAGTACTAAAGCATATGCTCTCCTCAAATGGGACCACTTAGGGTAATATTTTTGTAGTTTCCTGGCACTGAGGTCTGCCAGCCTTCCTAAGCCAGATCTCCTATTTGCTTCAGCAAGCATTCAGAAAAGTAAGTGCCTGAAGATTTAAGCAACAATCAAAAAATATACTGGACTTTCCAATAAGAATCTGACGAGAAGCAGGCTGGCTCTGTGTCAACAAAGTCAACATAAAGATTTGAAACGATGGGCAATATGACTCTACACAAAATCAAATCAAATCTGGCCCGTTCCTGCTGACTACTTACAACTACTCAATTAAGAGATAATTATCAAATCTCTTCAAATGGTATTCCAAATGTATCCAAGAAGGTTAAACTGGATTCTAGTCACATCAAGACCAGTAAACACCTTTAAAATGTGGATTTTTTTAAATCCAATGTCAAGCCAGGAAACGTTGTGGAACAAGGGTAAGATCCTTGGACCAAGACTCACTAGAATGTAACTTACCCAGTTACATTCTCTCTGTATCCCCAGTGTTCCATGAGTATCTCAATAAATCTTTGTGGAATGAATGAGCCAGTCACAATTGCTGAATAGTCCCTGAGCTGCCTTTTACTGCCATTTCTAATGCTCCCTCTTCCTAACTAAGCATAAGTAAATTATTTAACCTGAGGATTCTTAGTTCCTGAAAATCTGGAATGGAAACACTGCACCTCCTTTGCTGTCTTATGAGGATCAAAGGTAATATTTTATGAAAAGTGACTTAATATTTCATAACGGGCACACGAATGTTATCCTGCCAAACCATTGGCAAAGGTAAAACTACCGCCCTCCCTGGAAACAGAATTAGCTTCTCCTTTGCCCTGTTATTCTGTTTGGATGTGGTAGCATGGCCGTTAGCCAAAATGGATGTTGTTCTTGTTGTTATAACATTTTATTTCATCTCCACTGGGAAATTACGCTTCTCTAGAGAAAACAATGGTAATACAAGGAAGGTCATCGCGTGGTGTACCCTAAGGAGCGTGACACAGGGGTCAAGAGGCTTAGGGCCTCATCAGTTCTGCCCTTAATTATTTGAGGAAAAGCTGTGCTTCAGTTTTTTCATCTATACAATGATGGGGAGGGAGGACAGACTCGATCCAAGGTTTGTCTTACCCTACAGTTCTAAGATATTCCAGACACCAGATATTCAAATGCCCCAAAACAAAGTCAGTTCTGTTATCCATTAGCATATAATGAGAACAGTGTTTTTGAGGATGAGGAAAACAGTTCCACAGCCGAAGTCATAATGTCTGAGCAACAATGATGCTACAACAAAAGATGAATGCTATCCTCAAAGAACACCCACCTCAGGCACTATATGCCTGCCACCTTGAATGTCACTCAATATTCATAGGACTCAGTTTTCTGGTCTTTAAAAGAGAAGCAAAAATGCTGCATAAAACCACTGGGAGAAAATACCTAAAAAAAACAGTGATCAAAAAGTAGTGCTATTTAAAGGTAAAATGCTATTTAAAAGACTGTAATGCCCAAAACAAGGCCGGTGGATTTTAGAAGACAATCAATATTTATAAATAGACCTTTTCCATCACAATAAAATAATACAATGCATGTAGATATTGTGGTATTTCCAAGAGTCCGCTTTTTTTTTTTTTCTCTTTGTGTTCAGGAGATATTATGAAAGAGATCACTACAAATTTAAATTCCACATTTCAAGATCAGAATCTTTTTCTCTGAAATAATACATAATATTGAAAGTTCATCCACCTCTCCCAACATGTTTATGTTTTTGCTGTGGATGCTGTATGGTTGGTTGGTTAATTGAAGTCAAGCTTTTGGAAGCGGTGCTGAAATTAAAGTGCCGGTACTAATAATGCCCCCAGCTAGTTATTCTATTGCGGTTCTACATATGCTTACAGAGGGGAAAGGTTAGTCTAAGATCCACTAAACTAGAAGATATTCTCCCTTCTCCGCTTCAGGGTTGTTTTCAATTGTGGTATCAGCTTCAGGACTCTTTTTTGAAATTTTTATTTTATTGCGGTATTAGCTCCAGGATTCTTAAGTTCCTCCTACCAAGCCCAAGGAACCTTGTGACTATTACATGCAAGAATCCTTACTGCTCTCTCCATTCAAAAACATAACATGGTGTACATTAGCTACAGCGTTTCCCCTCTCACTTAAAGGACTCTGCCTCTTCACAAAATAATAATAATAATAATAAATAAAATGAAATTGTCATTGATACTTATGAGAAAGTTGATGTCTCTGGCAAGGGGGTCCCCAAATCTGCAAGACTGCCTCCATACCCCCTCACAGGCCAATAACAATAGCCGTCACAGTACGTTAAACTCTTAAACAGTGATTTTATGTTAAAACCTATGAACACCTCCAGCATTTTTATGGCAGCGGAGTTTGTTGTGGCTGTTCCTACAGTAATTGGAACCTCCTTGCATCCCCAGGTAATGGCTGTGCCCTTGCTCTAAAAGCCACCTTAGTTTGCGTCAGGAAGACCTTAAAAGAAAAGGGAACTGACCAGAAACTCTTCAACAATCTTCTTCATAAGCCGCACATAATAAATGGCCATTCATTCCTAAGAAGTACTGAACACATGATGATTTGCTACCCTCGTTACGTTTTTTATTATAAGATAAACTTAAATCACTTTGGAATTTAAGAGTCGTTCTTAGTAGCATAAGTCACTTTTCATGCCCTCCCCCCAAATCCCTAACTAAATCCAAAGAGAAGCCAGTAGCTTTAACACCAGCTCCTTAAGGCTCTGAAGCCAAGATATTTACACGTTTTTAAAAGCCATTTCCTGAGTGAGCGCTTCGGGTCCTCCTGATGAACGTCATGTCTCTGAGAGAAGGTCCAGCAGCCTGTGAAGGGCTTTGTATCTGGGGCTGCTCGCCTCTCCTTTGCACCTCCCAGCTGCCCTGCTCCTATTTGCTCTGCAAGCCGTTTAGCCTGGGGGGGCTCCGCTGCCCTGAGTCCTGGGGGCATTTGAAATGCTTCCTTTCCAGCCCCAGCCCCAGCTCCGGGACTCTCAACCCCCGCCCTCCAGGCTACTGTCCCTCTAAATGCCCCGGGAGGGAGGGAGAGGGGCGGGGGGCATCGGTTTACTGGGTAATGGCGATCTACAGGCTTGGGGAGTTTGGGAATTTGTAGGTGAGCAAGATGTCTGGGCATTAAACACTGCTGTGTTTGGAGGAGAGGATCTAAGACAGATTCGTACCTGTGACCACTTAGCCAGCTCAGCACCTGTGCCCGCCACTTCCCGCCCGAGTCCAGGAAATTCTGCCCCTCCTGGCCTTCGCTTCACCTACAAGGGGGTGGGTGGCTCGGTGAAGAGGTGGAATCGGGCAGCCTGCTGCATGCACATCCCTAAGTCCCCGCGCCCCCACACCTCGGACTTCTCTGCCTGTCCAGATGGAAGGTGGACGCGGCCGGAGCTGCCCGACCCCACAGCTGGCTCCCCCGGTGGGGAGGCGACGCCGCGGGGAGCAGCAGCCGGCGCCCCGAGAGCCTTCGCGGAGGGTGGGCTGTACTCCTGGGGCGTCCAGCTTCCCATCACTTTTCCCCGTACTTTGCTCACCAGCTGCCACGCTCCCTGGAGAGGACCAAGAAGGCGGGAGAAAGGCCCACAAGGCACCCCCGGGACACCTCTCCTCCTGGGATGGGGACCCATCAGACGCCGCCCCGCCTGCCCACCTCTCCCAGCCTCCGGGCTGCCCGGCGCCCGTGCCGCGGCTCCCAGCGCAGCTCCGGGCTCTGCTGCATCCAGGGCGCCGAGCAGCGGGAGGCGGCTGCAATAAAGGCGCGGGTGAGAAGCCGGGTACCTGGACCCCGAAGGCACCTCTTACCATTGGACCGCCGGACGATGTTCTCCAGAAACGTGTTCTGCGGGGCCACCAGTCCCCTCCTGCCCCCGGCCATGGTCATCCTCCCGGCGGCTCGGGGTCTCGGGGCTTCCCGGCGCGGCTGCTCACGGCAGCAGGAAGCGGGGCCCGGGGCCCGCGTGCGCTCCCGGCTCGAAGCGCCCCATGCGCCCCGCAGGGATCCGGGCGGGCAGGGGCGGCGGCTCCCTCCCGCGGCCACCCTCGCGCCCACTTCGCGCCTGCCTCCCTGCGGCCCGCCTCGCCGCGCACTCGCTCGGGGCTCGCCTCTCCGCAGCCGCCTCCGGGTGGGCGGAGGGAGCCCGGCGCCCGGGTCGGCGGCGCCCCCTACCGGGCGCGCGCCCCGCGGGCCTGCGGGAGACGGAGCGGGGTCTCGCGGCGGGCGGGAGGCGGCGACCCGCGGCGGGTCGGCGCCGGGTTGGCAGCGCCACCCTCTGGGCACAGCCGGGAATTGCGTTCAGTGCGCTTTGGGCTGGGTGGCGGGAGGGCAGCTTAAGCCCTTGGAAACCTTGGAGGCTCCTGGAACACCTTCTTCTCCCCCTGGGGTTTCTTTGCCTCCTTGTGGAAGCGGCCCCTCCTTGATGCTGAAGCCAGTGTTGCGCCAGTGGTTCATGACGTCGTATTGCAGGCGGTTAGACTTGCAGAGTGACTAACGGATGGAGCTCCAGAAGCTCAGTCTTGGGCTGTTTCTAAATAGAACCAAAAGCCAATGTAGGCTCTGGACGTTTGATAAATTTGCTAACTGCCTGACCTGATTTCCACTTTTATCCAAAGAATATTTTACCCAAAAGCCAAGAAAACATAGGAATATGCACATAACTTTTTTTTAGCTGAAGCACAAGCTGTTATGATCAGTGTGTAAGGTTAGAAAACAAGAACCAACTGTCTGACATCAAAACGCTGGGCTTGTCTCTAAGGGCAAATATTTGGGGTGAGGGGTAGGGCGCGGTGGGGGAGAGAGGGGGCCAACTTCCCAAACAGTTAACAATTAAGAACCGGAACCTTGGCTTGAAGGATGGTCCACACTGCACAGGATGAGGTGCTGGTCTTCACACCTGCCCCGGGTCTAAGGAAGGATTACATGGACCAAAAGTTTCTGGGAAGGAGCCATTGTTCACTGATTCGGAGAGATTTCTACCTGTACATAGTCTTTACCTGTCCCTTTACTATCCATTTCCAGTGGATGTGGCCAGAGACTGAGTCTATGCCCCACAAAAGGAATGAGTCCCTAGGTTTTTAGTTCATTCCAGGCTTGGTCAACAGTGGACATTAAAATGAAAGAGGGAGAAAACAGAGCCTGCAGCCTCCGTTGTACGAAATAACCACTCTGACACATCCTATGATAGTATTACCAGGTACAGATACCCTAAGTTCATTAATATAAAAAAAAGAACTAATTCTTGCCCATCAATCTCTGAGTTGCTGTGAAGATCAAATGTTAATTATGTACCTAAAATGTAAAATGTACTCTAAATTGCACAGGGCTATACCAAGGTCGTACATCATTGGAGTGACTAAGTAAATTGGGCCATTACAAGCATCACCCTTTCTCTTACCTTGTGTAGGCACAAAGCAAGCTGACTGCTTTAGCAGAGTTAAGGCTTGCATAGGCTTTGAAAGTAATGATACGCTTCTTCCATATAATAACATTCTACCCAGCACATCAGTCACCCAATTCAGAGCTGTGATTTCTTGATCCCTAGCTCCGTCTAGTGGTTCTTTGTTCTACTACAAACGAGGTATTACACTGGTTGGAGAGAACTTCCTCTGAAATGTACTTGGTGCCAAGCCGGTTCTGTGGTGTCTGCCCACTTCATTTGAATAAGTGCATTTAAATAAGTCTCTTAAGGTTATGTTATCTACTGCACAACCATGCCCAAGGGGAGATTTTTTGTGACAATATTAAAAACCCATCAAGCAACCTCATAATCCTGCTTGTGAAAGGAAGATAAAAGAATGAGGGGTGGGGGGGGGGGACTGTCATAGAGACTTAATCAAATTTCCCAGATTTTAATAAGCTCTCATGATGGAGGTCTGCAGACTGGCTGGGGAAAACATCCAGGCTCAAATAAAAAGGAAACAGATGATGTTCGTCTGAGGTAAGAGATGCTAAAGCCTCGGTAGGCTACCTGACAAGAAAAAGGAACAAGGAGATAGCTTCCATTTTAATTTTAAATGTAGTACTTCCATGGTTCTCAGCACGCACCGTGTGTGTGTGTGTGTGTGTGTGTGTGTGTGTGTGTGTGTGTGTGTGTGTGTGTACCACTTAGAATACTATAATTTTTCGTGCCACCCTTGAAGAGATTAAAAGGCCTAAAGCAACACTAAAAATCAACAGTCTTTAACCACCATCACCACTCAGTGTGACAGTATCTCACAGTGTCTACAAAAGCACACCCAGCCGTCCCCCCATCCCCTTGGCCGACCCCCAACTCTGAGTGGTTGTGGGAACAGAGTCGTGTTCTGCCCGTCGACGTTCTCTTTGACATGCACAGGCCATGGTGACATGTGCTCAGTCAGCCCACCATCCTTGCTCGGGCTGGTTTGACACAGTATGCTGCTTGCCTCCTCCACATTCAGTCCTAGGACCTGCTCCGCTTAAAGTTCCGTCTGAGATCTATCGCTGTGATGTAGGAATCTCAGTTAGACCAAACTTTAATCTTACACATCTGTCAAAATTTGATAACACAGTTTGAAGGATTCACAAGACTCCAATGTGCTTTGGCAACCCAGCTGAGAGCCCCCTGTGTTTTTTACATAACAGACAAAACCACTTTTTAAAAAATATATTTTTATTGATTTCAGAGAGGAAGGGAGGAGAGAGATAGAAACATCAATGAGAGAGAATCACTGATTGGCTGCCTCCTGCACGCGCCCCCCCTCTCACTCCCCCCACCCCCCCCACACACATACACTCATGGCATGTGCCCTGACCTGGAATTGAACTGTGACCTCCTGAGCCACTGCAGCTGGGAAAAAACAAGCCCAACACTTTCTTTTTAAAGGGATAACTTTAAATAATTGTGACCAAAGTTCCAGTGAAACTGCCTCTGCCCGTCCCTGCAGAAAGTCCCTGCACCTGCCTAGAACTTCCATCAAGAAAGATACAGTGTCTCAATTAAAAACGTATGCAAATTTATTCTGCTGTTTCTAGCTTCCCTCCCTTCTCAGTGGCTCTCCTGCTATCCTCCCTCCATATTTTGCTTACCCTTTAATCAAGACACGTGTGTGTTGATGCCTGTATCGCACAATAGATGGCGAGCTCCTTGAAACAAAAGATAAGCTTTACCCGTCTTTGTTCTCCCAAATGTAATTAAGCCACGCTGTCATTAGTGAGTTCACAAAGGGAGTGGAAGGCAATGGAGGCGTAATGCTACAGAGCGCGCGTGGAGGTGGAGGTCTGCAGACTGGTGGAGGTCTGCAGACTGGCGGGAGAAAACATCCAGGAGGTGATCACGTATGATGCTCAACAACAACAACAAAACTACCACGTGAGGAAGACAATGCAACAGGCCAGAGGGAGGGAGTGGCATCGTGCAAAGACAGGAATTACATTTTTTCCCTTTGGTTCCTTTTTACCTTTTACTAGGTAAAGATGACAGATTTCAGAAACCCAAAAGCCATCACACAGGGGAGAATGACCTATGAGTGCTGGGTGGGGGCCGGAATGGGCAGGCAGGGATACTTCCTCACTAGCAAACCATCAGCATCACTAGGAGAAGCTGAACCTAGAGGTGACTTTACCCTCTCGGCCAGCGTAAGTGAAATACCTAAAAGAAGGGGAGCTTGCAGCACGGGAACCTTCAGCTTCTATAACCCAATGACTGACTTATTATTTATTACATGTCATTTCTGCTAACAAGATGTTTCTACTAGATTTATAGGAAAAGAGTTGGGCAGGCACTCTCCGTTGGGACAGTGGTTCTCAACCTTCTGGCCCTTTAAATACAGTTCCTCATGTTGTGACCCAACCATAACATTATTTTCGTTGCTACTTCATAACTGTAATGTTGCTACTGTTAGGAATCTTAATGTAAATATCTGATATGCAGGATGGTCTTAGGCGACCCCTGTGAAAGGGTCATTCGACCGCCAAAGGGGTCTCGACCCACAGGTTGAGAACTGCTGCGTTGGAAAGATCTGCTCTGTATTATAGATGTCTCCCAGAAGTGCTGGGAGAAGAAAGAGAATCTTCCTCGCTGAGAAACACAGTCCATGAATCTAATTGACTGGGTGGAAAGGATGCCTGATGTGGTATTAGACCCAGCTGTGACTGGCCAGGAGACGTTTTTAAATGTTTGTAAAATTGGGTTATATCCTTCTAACTGCCCAAAACGATGATCCTTCTTTCTCATTTTCTCTTACCAAAGGGAACAGGATCTTTTACCACACCCCCACTCATGGAGCACAATTAAATGCCACTTACAACAGTCTTGTTTTATGGTAACAAACATTTGCTCAAAGGCCAGCATATGCCAGGCACTGGGATGGATTCTAATGGTGAAAAGATGATCATGGTTAGCACCTGCCCTCAAGAAGCTCAATAAACACTTAGCGAATGCTTAGCTTCTTTATTATTCCTCTCCTTTCAGCTCGATTGTGCCCTGTACATTTTGGGGTGTGTGTGTGTGTGTGTGTGTGTGTGTGTGTGTGTATGTGTGTGTGTTTTGTGTGTGTGTTTTTTTAATTTCAGACCAACCTTTGCGGTGACTTTAGGTCTCTGAGTTTGCAAGGCCACCATGCAGCCCTTCCCTGAGCTAGTCAGGTTAGCTAGCATGTGGCCCCTTTTTGTCCACAAGATAATTTTTTGTTTTTTAATCCTCACCCGAAGGTATTTTTCCCATTGATTTTTAGAGAGAGTGGATGGGAGGGAAGAGACAAAAAGAGAAACGTCAATGTGAGAGAAACACATTGGTTGGCTGCCTTCCACACACACCCCAACCAGGCCTGGGATCAAGCCTGCAACTGAGGTACGTGCCCTGGCCTGTAATTGAACCTAGAACCCTTCGGTGCACCAGCCAACGTTCTAGCCACTGATCAAAACCAGCTAGGGTTAAATCTTGCTTCCTTTGTTAGTAAACTACAGTTCAGCTTGATCTCTTCTCTGAAGACTCTCTGGCCTCCCTCTGAACTGAGACGTGGCTCCCCCCTAAGGTCTAGGAGTCCCGCAGATCCTGCTCCCATGGAGGAAATTCGTCTGCCAGGGCCCAGGTACCTAGAAGCCAGAGGGCAAGGTGAGAATCCGTGCAGTTCCTCACTACCATATCCAAACCACTGCTC